AACCTTAGGCCAAAGCTAAAGAAGCTTCTGTATTTAGGACTAGATTGACTGACTTTACGAAGCAGTATGACATATAGTGGATAGAGAGGTACTAGCCTCAGAAAATCAGAAGACCTGAGTTCAAGTGTTGCCTCTGACCTATAATGGCTGTGTGACTCCAGGTAAGTTACTTAACCTCTCAATGTATAGGCAATTAAGACTATACATTGCAAAAAAGGTACCAATCGTCACTGATATGGGAGAAGAGAAGGGAATGAGCATTTATATAGCATCCACTACATGCCAGGCACTATGTTAAATACCTTATTTCATTTGCTCTAAACAAGAACCCTATAAAGTAGGTGTTATTATTATCCCCATTTTCCAGGTGAAAAAAACTGAGGCAGAGAGATTAAATGACTTGCCCAGGGTCACATGGTCAGTGAGTATCTGAGGCCAGATTTGAACTCATGTCTTCCTTACTCTAGGCCCAGCATTCCATGTACTGTGCCACCAGCTGCCTCTATATACAGAGAGTTTCCTCATCTGGAAGTTTCCTTTAACAATTTAATTTCAGATCTAGTCCCGATCCTGATCCCCTTGACTAACTTCATTAAGGTAAAAAGTCCTCAATTAAAACAACTGAGTACAGGCAACATGGCAGCATGACAAGAATGTTACACTTGTAGTCAGGAAACACAAGTTCAAATCCTAACTGACACTTATAGTTGTGTATGACCTTGGCAAATTTTTGTTGGGGCTTGGATGAAGTGACCTCAAAGACCCCTTCAAGATCTAAATCTATGATCTCTGCATTTAAGCAATCTGATCCTCAGTTTTCTCATCTGTAAAATGGAGTTTACAATGCTTACAATACCTCCTTCACAGGGCTGTTGTGCAGAAAGCATTATATAAATATTAAAATGCCATCTGTAATGACCATCATGATGTCAGATAACCATTTAACCATTTTATCTCATTTTTCAACCAAAATATGATCTAACTCCATTAGTTTAGACCAGAGGTCAGCAAGGTCTAAGCCTAGAGCAAAATCCCAGACCCTCTGCCCATTTTTTTGTAGAAGCCGCTAGCTAAGAATGCTTTTTTGGTCCTAAAACAAGAATTTATCAACTCCTGGTTTAGGTTGCAAGTTTCATGAAGGATATGACTGTGTCTCATTTAAAATTTTGTATCTATCTTCCCCCATCCCCTCCCCAAACCTAGTAGAGTGTTCCACACACAGCAGGAACTTAATAATTGTCAGCTGAATGAATGAGGTGTAACTACACAGCTTTCTCTTTTATATGGGTAGGTAGGAAGAAGAATGATGACTTCCTTGAATGCAAAAGGGTCTCTATAAGAGCCTTCTTCATATTCTCTTTCAGTCTCTCCTACAAGGAAGCCAGCCCAGAATGGTTGAAATGAAAACTACTGGATTCGATGGTTGATCTCCATGATTCCAGATACCCAGCTGACTGCCTTTTCACTTTTCAATTGGGTCTTACACAGCTAAAGGAGATTCTAAATCAAACAGACTAACACAGAATGTTCATTGGCAATTTTAAGTGGTGGCCAGTGATCTGCCTTAGAGGAGACAAAGGATCCCCCTGCAGAGAGCTGGTCCAATACTGCACACTGAGTTCAGGCATTAGCTTCATAAATCCAGGGAGCATAGTCCTTCACAGATTTATGGACCAGACTCTGACTTCAATCAATCAATCAATCAATCAATCAAATATTTATTAAATACTTATTATGTACCAGGCACTGTGCTAAGCACTTCAGGACTGACAAGAAGAAAAAATCCCTACCCTCAAGGAGTTTACATTTCATAGGATATGACTACATGTAAATATAATTATATTCAAAATAAATACACAATAAATACAAGGTAATTTCAAGGGAGGAAGCTTCCACAGCTGTAAGGAAGAGGAATCCTCATTGAGAAGGCGGCATTTGAGTTTAGTTTTGAAGAAAATTATGGATTCTGAATGGCAGAGATGAGAAGACAGTACATAGTAGTTATGGGGGACAGACAGGCTTAGGAAATGCACATAAATAGAAGGTTGAATGACATGTATGGCATGTAAACTGCAGAAGCAGGGTCTGTTTCTCCCTCAAACTTCAGCTGTAATTTAGGTATGTTGAGAGAAATGAGATAATCTCTGGACACTAAGATATCATTGGAAGCTTATTTAGTTAACAAATGTACAAGATAAGGAGACAGAACTGTCAAACAAATATTAAATCACCCACTAGTGTTTAGAGGATTTACCCACAACAATTACAAATATAATATCCTAAATTTGAGGCAAATTGTGACCATTAGACTTAAGGTAGTGCAATCATGTCACAGGTTCTTAGTTTTCTCATCAGTAAAATGATGGGACTGGATTAAAGAATCTTGAAGGATTCTTTTTCTGTGTATAACATTCAAAAGCTCTATGATGGTATTGGTGGCACTCTGCACCTCTTACTTCACCTCCTCTCTGCAGCTATACTCTTTTTTTCCTCTCCCTTTTTTTCCCTCTTCCCTTCCTTCATAGGATCATAGAATTAGAGGTGGAAGGGACTTTAGGCATTATTAAATCCATGTCCCTCATTGTACAGATGAGGAAAATGAGGACCAGAAATGTTTTACCAAGGAACAGATGAAACATTTGAACCCGGGTCCTCCGACTCCAAAGTAAATGTTCTTTCTACCACATGATGATTCTTCTCATATACTGCCTTTATAAAGAACTATATTCTTAGAAGGCGTGAAAGTAGCACTCAAGGCTTAACCCTATCCTACCTAAGATTTTCTTTACTTTTCTAAATCCAATGGGCAACTCTGAAGAGCTAAGTAGCCAACTCTCTCTCTCTCTCTCTCTCTCTCTCTCTCTCTCTCTCTCTCTCTCTCTCTCTCTCTCTCTCTCTCTCTCTCTCTCTCTCTTTCTCTCTCCCTCCCTCCCTCTCCCCCATCTTCCTCTCTTTCCTTCTCCCTCTTCCTCTTTCTCTCTGTTTCTCTCTCTGGCTCTCTGGCTCTGTAGGTATGTGTCTCTGGCTCTCTCTCCGCACCCCAAAGTCAAAGTGAGGTGTTTCATTTTAATCTCAGGTCTTTCAGTTGAAGCCCAGGCATTGCTTGGCTCCATAAGTGTCAGTCAGGATTATAAGTACTACTCATCCCTGCAATGAATACTACCTTAGCAGGGTCAGGAGAAAGCTAAGGAACAACTATTATACTGTAATAATAGAGTCAGACACAACTCTGCATTACAGGTAAGAGGTCAGGCCTTGGAATTAGAAAGTGTCCTGACTCTGACACATTGGCTGTGTGACCCTGGACAAGTCACACAGTGTCCCAGGGAGAAGGCTAGGACTGATAAATTAAGGAACAGTTGTTGATCTGTATTGGTAAAGGCAGTTTTGTAGACCAATGAAAGAGGTCAAAGTGAAAAAGAAGAGGAGGAAGAACAAGGAGGAGGAGGAAGAGGAAGAGGAGGAGGAAGAGGAGGAGGAGGAGGAGAAGAAGAAAAAGAAGAAGAAATCAGAGATACAGAGGAAGACAATTTATCCTGTCTATGCCTTGTTTGCACATAGTTATTTGAATGCTGTCTCACCCATTATGATTGTGAGTTCCTTGAAAGTGGGGAATGTTTTTGCCTTTCTTTGTATCCCAAGTTCTTAGCACAGTGCCTGGCATAGGAAGTGCTTAATAAATGCTTATTGATTGACTGAGATCTTGATCTCAGAACTTTAGTCTTATACTTATGAATGTTTGTCTCTCTTCCTCACATTTTTGTATTGATTTTAATTAGTAATGTGTGCCTCCAAATTCAACAATTCATAACAAATACAGTAAAAAATGGAAAAGTAAATAAGTCTAGGATAGCCTCAACTTTTATATTTTCTCCATTTTGAGACTTAAAGTAATATATTAATTTAATTTTCTGTGGCTGTTCTGTTTATTTGGATAGTAAGAAATCAGCATTAAGAATGTTGAAAGGATGGCCAGAGTTCTTGGACAAGCAGGCCAAGTCTGAATTGTCATTGGAAACTGTACAAAGAAGTTTCTCAAAGGTTGACCACAGTGACCAGATCAATAACTCCATCATCTACCCATCTGGGTGCTTTAAAGGGCACAGTGGTGAAAATAGTAGACAGCAGACCTAGTCAAGACCCTGAAAGTCCCAAAAGAAACACTAGAAAATAAATACAGAATATGCCAAATGAAAAGTCTGCTTCTATTTTTATTTGAAATGCTCTGAAGGTTCCGTTCTATTGGGCAAATGTTTACTGAGCACCAACAATGAACCAGGCACTGTGCTCAACCCAAAGAGAAAAATGAAACAATCTTTGCCATCAGACTTTCCATTCTACTGGAGAAGAAAACACCTACACAGATTATTAAATACAAACTACATATAAAGTGATACAAAATAATTCCAAAGAAAACCTTCATTACTGCAGTGAGGGGTAGATTAGGAAATACCTCTGATATTGAAACTACACTTTGAAGGAAGTAAAGGATTCTATTAGGCTGCAATGAGAAGGGAGAGAATTCTAGACTTGAGCATAGACCTGCGCAGGGTCAAGGAGGAACAGAGTCTGAGGATCAATCACAAATCTGTTTGCATTGCTGCTCCCTTACCTTCAAGGTCCCATGAACTGCCACTGACTAAAGACTTCAAAACTACACTGTTGCATAAACAAATACTGATGTTCTTTAGTAATAGGCTCTATTCTTCCGCCCATCCCTTTTTCAAAGAAGTAAAATTTTATTATTGCAAACACACAGGATATAGACATTAGGCACTGCTGAGAAAAGAGGGAAAAAAACCTTTTGTTTCTCTGACTTGTCAGCCACGTTCCTATCTAACCACTCAGAATAAGTTCCACTTGATTTTTACCAGCCACGTTTGATATCAATGCGGTGCATCTGGAAGATTTTACATTAGCACACCAAAGTCATCATAACAAAATGGCAATGTAGCGTAGAGCTGGAGCAGAGCTGGAGTGGGGGTAGGGCTGGGGGTTACCTGTACCATGTGCTTTCATCTCGATGAAGACAGTGGGAGCATCACCAGTGAATTCTTTCTCCCTGGAAGGTCTTTTCAGGCAGACGCTGCTTGAGTAGAAAGCAGTGGCAGAAGGGAAATTCAATAAATATTGACTGCCCAAGTCTGTAAAATACAACGACAAAAGAAAAAAGTGAATTACAAAGCTAAAAAAAATTCATTACACTTAGCTTGCAGGTTTTAGCTGTACTCTGACTCTCTCTCTCTCTTTCTTTCTCTCCCTCTCTCTCTTCCCATCTTTCTCTTTCCCTCTCATCAGAGTAGGAAAGTGATCCCAGTTTCTCTGAGGATATTCCAAAGGAACATAGCTCTCTTACAGCTTTCATCAAACTGGAAAGCCTATATGTCTGTCATTTAAGGCCCATCATAGAGAAGTTCAGGGAGGCTTATGATCAGGTGGCTATAGGATGATGAACTTTTCTAATGCAACAACTCTCCAAAACCATCTACTAAGCTCAAGCTGAGACCCATATCAGAGGCAGGAGTCTCCACACTCAATGTAACTGAGATTCCTGACCTACTGGAGAAGAATGATTAATCACTATAATTACTTGTGATTATAAATCATAAGAAGCCTCTTAAAATAATGCTTTAAAGTAAAATAATTCCATGTAACAAATTTTTTAAAAGATCTAATTAATGTCGGCAGCTCAGTGGCATAGTGGATAGAGTGCCAGAACTGCAGTCAGGAAGACCTGAGTTCAAATCCAGCCTCAAACACTTACTAGTTGTGTGACCCTGCGCAAGTCACTTAAATCTGCTGGCCTCAGTTTCCTCATCTGTAAAATGAGCTGGAGAAGGAAATGGCAAACCCACTCCAGTATCTTTGCCAAGAAAACCTCAAATGGGGTCAGGAAGAGTTGGCCATGACTGAACAACAGCAAAGAACAGAAATAAAGGATGGAGTGGCATCCACAAGGCTTGAGATAAGATTAAACTCTATCCTACTAAAGCTGGAGGCCAAATCCTTGTTTCAGGAATTCACAAAACCTGTGAAGGCATGAAAGAATAAGTAATGAAGGATTATTGACTGTGCAAAAATCTCTCTGCCAAAATCCAAATGCCAGAAACAAGTTATAATTCAAGTTTCACGAGCTTTTAGCCCAAATAATTATAAAAGTTTGCCATATATTGTTTTTGTTGCCAGGCAAACAGAACAGAGGTCAATGTTCATCAGTTACCAGTGATTGCTGGGCATAATAATGCAACTCTATAAATGTCACTCAGTTATTTGTCTAATTAATAGTCCATAAAACTTTGTGAATTAATTGTAAATATTTTCTGTATGTAGTCCATATATCAAATAGCTCACGTTTACATAGCACTTTAAGGTTGGAAAAGCACTTCACAGATATCATCTCATTTTGTCTTCATAACAGCCTTGGAAAATAGGTGCTATTATTATCCTCTTTTTTCTGATAAGGAAACTGAGTCAGGTGGTGCTTAAGTGACTTGCTCAGTAAGTATCTAAAGCCATTTTTGAAAGCACCTAGCTGCCTTCTTAAGTAAAATGAAACAAACTATAGAAAGGAGAAAGAAAAAATGGCATTAGTTTTGCAACCATGGCTGAAAAAAGAAAAAAAAAAGAGTAATAAATCAGTAAAACATCTTGATAATAATAATGGGTCCTAACACAATTTTAAAATCTAACAAGTTATTGCTGAAGTCATAAAAATATCTCTTCATACACATATGTGTATACATATGTATGTATTTATCAATATTTAATATTCTATGTGGTATATTGGGGGCAGCTAGATGGTACAGTGATAGAGCACCAGCCCTGGAATCAGGAGGACCTGAGTTCAAATCTGGCCTCAGACACCTACTAGCTAGGGGACCCTGGGCAAGTCATTTAACCCTGCTTGCCTCAAGTTCATCTATCAAATGAGCTGGAGAAAGAAATGGCAAACCTGCTCCAGTAGCTTTGCCAAGAAAAACCCCACAAGGGGTTATGAAGAGTCAGACATGACTAATAATTAAACTAAACAAACAAAAAATGGCATATCAGTTAAGTACCAGACACAGAGTCAAAAAAATCCAAGTTAAAATCCTGCCTTAAACACTTAGATATGTGATTCAGGAAGGCTGCTTAACTGCTCTCAGCCACAATTTTCTCATCTATAAAATGGGAGTAATAATAGCACCTTCCTGTCAGAGTTGTAGAGATGAAAAGTAAAGAAGATCAATATGTAAAGAGCTTTATAAACCTTAAAGTGCTATGTAAAATAATGCTAGTTATTTATAATAACAATAACAATTATCATCACTGTTATTATCAGGACTCCTCTATTACCTACTTGCTCAATTATAAAACTCAAGGTAAGCAATTTTTCATCTAGTTCATTAATACTTCTTTTAATGGATTTGGTAGAGTGACAGGAGAAAACAAGCTATATAAGAACAAATTCAAGACCCCAGGTCGTTACCAGACCTTTAAATTGTAACATGATTTTATCTAGTAGTCATATTTATTTAGCAATGTAATACACTTTGCTTACATCAAAACCCCACTTTCATACCTCATGGCATGACATGAACATGCCCCATGTTCTAGGAGTCAATGCTGAAGAACATAAATTCCCCTAAGTCCTCCTAAGTTAGAATGGCTTTGAGGCCAGGTCCATGACATCTTGTGTGTGGTGTCTAGAGATCAGACCAGTTCAGAGCAGATAAGCTCATCACAAGAAGTGTGCCCACCAAATGGTGAAATGTTTTCTGCCAGAGCAGCTTGTATGTGGAGGCCACTCCTAAGATAAGGATTGTATCAGTAGAGGGATTATGCACATCTGGAAATCAGATATGTTTGAAGTATAAAATACTGAAAATCCAAGGGTATGCTCACTCATATTAACAAAGAAAAACAGAAACTGCAGAAATGTTTACAAAGAAAAACTTTAAACCTGAACAAAAAATCCCCACAAAAATTTACCAATAATTCCATCAGGACAGGATAACACTTACGCTTGTGCAAAAAATTAGATCAATTTTAAGAACAGAACACAAGGCCTGACAGCACTGGACAGCACTAGTGACGGCTAATTGTCAGAGGCAGCAATAAAAATACAAATATTTCTATTTTAATGGTATGAAACTCAGCATTTTCACTTCCAGATGTCAGATTACATAAAAGAATGCTAAAATTACTTTTTAAAACAATCACCTTGTAAAATTTCTTTCTAAAAACACATTCTAACATCAAGTCACAGACAGGTCTCTGGGTGTTCTCATGACAAAAAGAAGTATTTAACTATATACACATACACATCTTGTTTCAGATAAGCAGAGTTCCCTTTTTATTTTTTTTCAGATTAGTTTATCAAAACTCAATATTAAAGCTGGAAGACAGCAGCTAGGTGGTAGGTGGGCCCATATACAGAAAGAGTTCAAATCCCAACACTTGTTGGCTGCATGACTCTGGGTAAGTCATTTAAACTGTCTCAGTTTCTTCAACTGTAAAGTGGGGGTAATGATTTGAACCTACCTCCTAGAACTGTTGTGAAGATCAAATGATATCCTATTCATAAGTGCTTGGCACATAGTAGGTGCTTGTTTCCTTCCTTTTACTTAGTATAACCAAACCAAATTCTCAATGGTAGCACTTAAAGCCCCGTATTTGAAAACAGATTAAGATGACCTCCAATTTAAAGCATTTGGTACTTTACCATGTGATGGAGTCCAAATCAGAATTAAGGTTTACTGATGACCAAAAGAGCATAAAACTCAGAATTAGGATTTAATAAGGGCCAAGAGAGTATAAAACTCTAGTATAAAATAAGATGTGGTCAATTTATGATTATTAAAATTAAAAAGGAGGGGGTAGAGTAAAAAGGGACAATCATAAACCAAGAACACCTCAGAGAAAGCTTTTATCTGGCTTCTGCACATATGTGATTTCTATTTTGTAGCAGCTCTACTTTTCAGACTATGGTTTGCTTAGGCGCCTTCTTCATTGCAATTAGTCAAGGGATGCACAAAAAAAGAAATGCTTCTTCCTATGGAGGAGGTGGGAGGGAGAACAGTCATAGGCTGACAGTAAAGGGAAAAGTAGCTGGATAACCTGCAAACTGGGATAATCTGCCTTTGGAAAAGTTCACAAAAGGACTTAGGAAACAAAAGATTTGGAACCAAAAGGAACCTTGGAAATCATTACATCCAACCCCCTCCCCCACCTTTTTTAATGTATGTGCTGCCAAAGCAGGCAGGCACCAACCCCTTTATTTCGCAGATATAAGAAAGGAGTTCCCTCCTCACCTCAGTGGAAGAAGTCCCAGAATGTAATCATTTTAAGGGAAGGGGTGTGAAGCAATAGTCACACAGATGATAAGGAGCAGACCTGACTCCAAATACAGCATTCTTCCCACTACACAGTGCCTCTTTTTAATGCCCATTTTTTGGGTGCCTAATAATTTAATTATCTGAGGATTCTGGTAAAATCCTGGGTTCCGTAAGTCTCTTATTAGGTTTTCACACTGTTTTAATTAAGCATGGTTCCAATATGGTTCTCTCAATTTAATCACATCACTGGTACTTTCCCTTTTCAGGCTGGTAAACCCATTGGAATGGAGCCAGACAATAACTACAGGAGGGAACATTCCCCCTCTCAAAAGAGGAAGCTCTCAGGCTTCAATTTGTTTACTATAAGGTACATAAACAAAGTGACTGCATTTTGTGTTTAAAGCACTTGGCACTGTCACCTGAAAACATGAAGGGGGAAGGGGGGAATGGTGTCTGGAACCATTCAGGTGAAAACTCAGACTATGAGACAGCTTTCAAAATAGGTAACTTTTCTAACATCAGCATGTTCTGAAAGATCCCTTTGTGCTGTTATGTATAAGACCCATTAAAACATTGTAATTTTTCACCAATATGAAAAAGAAGTCTGATTTAAAATGACTTTGTATTCTAGTGCTATTTTAAAGGTGAGTCTGGCTTTTTATTCATCGACTAGATTATCTTTTCAGGAGAATTATCATACTTCACTGTAAGTACTTAATGAGGCACTAATTAGTACTCCCTTTTTTTTTTCATTTATAACTCCTCTGGGAAATGAGGTCAGAACCTGTTTTAGTGCATGAAGCAAACCTGAGGTTGTATCAAATACT